TTCAGATGTGATGATTGCCAGGCACTTTCATGTGCATCCATCCACTGTAAGTCGACTCAGACAACGTTTTCGGGCTACCGGAAGTGTTGCTGATCGTCCGCGACCTGGTGCACTACCTGTGATAACAGCTCGACAAAACCGCAATATCCGAGTTTCACACTTGCGAAATCGGTTCCAAACAGCTGATGATTAGGCAAGGAGGACAATTAGGACAAGTCAACGTCATTTCAGCGCGGAAAAGGTGCAAGGACGCCTTGCTGCCTTCAACATCCGGTGTCGTCACCCGTACCGTGGTCCAACCTTATTGCATCGCCACAGACTTGCCAGACAGCGATGGGCAGCAAATGGGGCCAATCTTGGCAACAGGACATGGCCAGATGTCATTTTTTCAGATGAATCCAGGTTAAACTTATCCTTTGCAGATGGACGTCAACAGATTTATCGACGTAAAGGAGAAAGACTTGCGCCAAACTGTGTCCTTGAACATGATCGTTTTGGAGGGGGTGGTGTCATGATCAGACCACAGACCATCAGAGGCTGCAGACCATCCAACAGCTGTTCCTGAGAAATGTGTGTCTTTCAATGCCCCAAAGACTGCGAGCATGTCTTGCAGCGCACGGTGGACACACACGATATTGACTGCAAGTGACCCCTCCTTTGTGTGATGTCGTTGTTGCGTCACTGGTGTTGTTGTTGACTGGACATTTTCAGATGAAATTATTCACAGATGTTCACTTAAAACATATCTGCCAGTTAGGTTTATATATGTTGAAATTAGTGTGAGTAAAGAAAGTATGAATGTCAAATTGCATTTTTAATGGCTTTCAGTATATTTTCAGAGACTAAGCGTTAGTCTACATGCATGATTTTCTGAAGAAATGTAATTCTGGCCTACACGGGGACATTGTGCAGACGTTGTATGACTTGTGAAATATACCGTTAACTTTCATTATTTAGAGGCCGTAGCCATTCAGTTGAGTATTGCTGAGTAGCATAATGAGTGAGAAATAACTATGGTTTTAAGCAATAACATTTCAGATGTAAGACGCGTGTCAATTCCATGTAGAGTTACCGGCCTTAGAGGTTTGCAGCTTTGGTGAAACGCTCTAGTATCGTCCGGTGCTGACAAATCTTATAAAACATCTGAGAGTGAACCTGGGATTTGAATCCATGACCAGGTTCCTGGAACCCCAAACGGACGCAACTCTGCATGTTCACGTTAATCAGATAGACGCCTAAAGTTTTTACAAAAGTTTTATAATCCTTTCCATATTGAACCGTATTGAACACACACGTAATTTCAATGTGAGTGAGTGAGTGAGTAGAAGGATTTACGCCGCTTTTAGCAATTTTGCATTCATATGAAATTGGCTGTACGCACTGTAAGGAATCAAATACGATTTCATCACTATACTATCCCCTTAAGGGACATTACTTTCTATTTTACTGTCCTCTATTGCGTGTGTATTAGAGAAAATTGAACCAAAGAAATAGTTCGTGCCGTTATGTGCCTCAAGTAACGGAATACCTGCTGTCGTCTTACTGAAAAAACAGCATACATGTATTTCAATATATGCTGACTCGACACTCGCAGGAGAGACTTGCATTTCAGTGCCTTGAAGTCTAATTATAAAAAAGGATGAATACAACACTCTCTTCGCTGAGCACGGTATATACCTACATCAAAGGCCGGTAAAACATAAAGCCAGGAGTTGGCATCTATAAAATTGGCATATTTCTGATTTGACTAAAAAAAGTCACGCTTAAGTAGGAATTAAGAACACTTTTAACGACAACAAAACAAAGAAGTAAACACCAATATTTGTTTGCATTCACGTTTACATATTTTTAGCACGTAACATTGTCCCTTTATATCTGCTGTAGTCACATAAATTACTTCGAGATTAAAACAGTCGATTCCAACAGTGTCGCATTTTTTGACCCACGCAAATATCTCATCGTTGTAGATTAACGAACGTTTGTCATACGATAAGTTTGCAAACATTCTTGCTAGGAAGTTCAGCAAGTTTATGATTACTTTACATTGGGTGAATTCCCAGGCTGAATTGGTTTTCATTAACCCTTATCTTAGATATAATTGAAATGGATCGTGACCCATGATCTGGAAGATTGTGTGTTACCGTACGTACTCTTACAAACACCCTGACTGCAAAGTAAACCGACACTGATTCAATCACGTGAGGGGCGTTTGGGTAGCCTAGTGGTTAAAGCGGTCGCTCGTCACGCCGAAGGCCCGGGTTCGATTCCCCACAAGGACACAATGTGTGAAGCCTATTTCTGGTGTCCCCCGCCGTGATATTGCTGGAATATTGCCAAAAGCGGAGTAAAACCACATTCACTCACTCACTCATTCAATCACGTGACATTGTTTCGCACTGTAGCGAGTGACTGTGATAGAATCATACGGTGAGTGAGTGAGTGCGCGAGTCATATCAGTTTATGCTGCACAACCGGCGCAAGTCTTTGAACTTTATCGAACCTCACGATCACTGCCATGGTGCTGCCAATCCAAACATCATTATCACGGCGATATATGCGATTCGATCTTCGGATCTTGGTACGACCAAGGGAAGCAACTCTTCAGATAATCGCTGCGATTGGACCATATTATTACCCGTTTTGCGCATTAATCTAACTGAGAAGACAAGTAATTGATGAGAACCATCGTGGCCGAGTTCATCCCGATGGCGTATTCCCAATGGCTAGTATTGTTGCCACACTGTAACCATCCCCCTGCAGCCTCCCTGCCAGAAGCATAACTAACCATCATCAAATGTTGCAAGGCCGATTTCCCGACGGGCTCAGTCTGTACTGGAAGACGAATAACACACGTCAGTGCTTCTTTTCACACTGAAGAATTACTCTTCTTTGAGTATAAGAAACCTAATCGCCAGTGAAATGTGTTTTGATTGTAATCGTTACTGAATCACAATCAGGATATTTCTCTTCATATAAATTCACGTATCTCTGCGTTAGCGCAGTTACGTTATTTAACCAGTTTTACTGCCAATGTGAAGAACTGGGTGCCGTTATGGTTTCGTTCTTATTACACTGCAACTGATTTAGATTGACATTTATGATATTAAATAGTCTATCATTACTTCGTGGTTTGCTTCTTCTAGTAATAAATAGTCCCAATGTCCATGAAATCCAACGCTACCTCATAACAATATCACTTAAATGGTTTTTAATGTTTTTCAGATTTTCTTCTATCTCTAAAACGAGTTGGACAAAATCCGGAAACACGTGAAATTTGAATCGAAGCTTGGCAGAGATCGGTCTTTAAGAACGTGAGGCAATGCACGCCATTTCTCAATGAATCGTTATATTGGAGTAATGAAGATATAAATCAAATGCGATTGGCTTAAAATAAAGTCAGATTAAATCCTATTTAAGATAGATGAGATTAAATAATAGTGCTCGAAGTGTTTTTAAAAAGGCTTCAGGCAACCACAATGAGAGTGTATGTGTGTCGAAACAGTCGTAGTTTGCCCCGAGAGACACCTGAGACTCCGGTATTGGTAACAGTTACCATTTGCGAATGGAACGTCGTTACTGAAATACAGCCAAACCCCGTTGTGTCGAACTTTGATAACTACAACTTCGGTTGTCTCGAAGACAAAGTCTGACAGGGGCGGATGGACGATTTTGGAGAGGGGGTGCACATAAATCATGAAGTCATAAGTGCAGTGGTCCATGAACTTTGTGTTATAAGCTGTAGGGGTTTTGGGAGGTTACCAGTCCAAAGGTAAGGGATAAATGCTCCTCAGGGAACATTTTTTCGGAGGACGGGAGGTCGAACCTCCGCACACACACACACACCCTGAATCCGCCCCTGCTTTGTGCCATCGTATTCCTTTTGAGTCATCATTTAGTGTTTGTGTCGAACTTTGGAAGTACTTAAGTAGGTCCCCTCAACGTCGACACAACGGGGTTTACTGTGTAGTATTCCGCTTTCGATAAGCATATGTTTGATCGTTCCACTATACCTAAAACTGTTAACACTTAATATGTCAAGTGATGTCGAATGGTGTTATCAAGTCAAAACATTGTTTACACAACAGTCTCGTTCTTGTTGACTGGGTCCCGTCTTATTGCGCAACTTATTTTACAATAACCAGTCCAGAATTTTGGGACCAATTCATTTAACTGGACACATAATTATTAATCAGTATTATTTGATACATCTAAGCACTTGTATATTGCAACACTACGCTCCTCCTAATCCTTGCAAACATGTCGTGCGGCGTGCTCTGTCGTACAGCAACTCTGACAAACGGAAACCTGGAAACCGTGGAAAACTCAAAACGAGGCTCTCCCGCTGGAAATGTTTGGCGGTCTGGTACGGACTTGGTATTATATCAATTACATTGTGTGTTACAGAACTACACTGAATAAGCGCACAAAACACATAACAGGTGTAACCAGTGTGCCAGATGCATTGTGAATCATTTTAGGACCTCATCAAACAGGGGCAGTCTGTGACGTCTTAGTTAAGGTCATGCTGCCTACACCTCGCCATAAAATAAGAAATACGATGTTATTAAAGTTTAAAATTAGAATTCATTTGTAAATACCATTTTCTTATGAAACAAGGAATTGGAATTCAGTGTAACCATAATTGTTTGCGATGACTATTTTCACTTTAACACGAGAAAATTCGGATCGGCTGAAAAGTAGGTCATTGTCTGAATAGGTTAATGAGACTCATGTTTCGGTTTGTGACAATCCTTATCAAGAGTTGAGCAGTATACTGCTCAAACACATATACAGCATCAGGTTCTTAAGTCGATTAAAATATTATTAACGATTTCAATACTGTTTAAATAAGCCAAGTATGGTTCAACGCAGCTTTGAACAGTATTTCCTATACATGTATATCAGCAGGATGTGGAAGGAAAGATCGAACTGTAGGTTTCATGCGCGTGACTAAGGGAGGCAACTATGCAGACCGAGTTTGGGTCTTAAAAGAGACTTACCACTTTCCTCTGTTCTCTCAGTAATGATTGGGCTTGCCTTCCCTGCCCCGGCGCTATTAACTGCACGAACCTGTAAAATAAATAATAACAGACTTTACTTTGATTACAATAACAAATGCAACGGGTAAATATATCAAATTGTAAAAGTTAACGTACCACCATCCGTCTGCATTGATACATAACCCTGGCTCTATAATAGGTGTTAGACGTGTACAGAGATGCTGTTAAAACTGATAACATTGACAGGGTTAAACCAGATACAAACAAGAGGTTGATGGCGTTAAGGAAAGTCACACACCACACCCAACCAATCCTCAATGAGTAGTTCTATTACAAGTACAGTCTAACACTATTGTGTGGAACTTTCATCTGTCGAACGTACGACATTCTCTTCCCACAGAGGTTACTTGTTATATCTTCCTACGAACCTCTGTTCTAATACGACCCTTTCATGGTGCGAGTGTTCAGGATTCGTGATTGGTTGCAATCAGATTTAGTTGTGCAATCAGCAGCGTTGTTTCAAAAGTGATCATTCGCAAGGTCTCGGTAATTTCCGTATGTTTCGGGAAAACTAGAATCTCTTCCCCGCAAACGTTTCTTCTAGACAGAACTCAGTTATGTAATAGCGGATCAATGGCGTCTCCATCGCCCTCGTTGAAAACGGACAAGCTAGCCATTAAATGTCTTGTGTGTCACATCAACACAAGTCTCCGGCAGAGGAGGAATATTTGTGGCCCCACATTTGCTTGCATTAGTCAAGTTGGATCTAAGTCGATGTAACACGTGTTCTGATTGGATAGAAAGAAGGGAGATAATTTGTGTTGCGATTTTTGGCCGTTAGGGGATTTTACGAGAACCGGGACATATGGCCGTATTAGAACAGAGGTTCGTAGGAAGATATGACAAGTAACCCCTGTGGGAAGAGAATGCGTATTCTTCCTTATTCATGTTTCGATTGTGTCGAACTTCGGATAATTCGACGCCTTTCCGAAGCTCCCTTCAACTTCGACACAACGGTGTTTGACTGTATGGGGTCTTTGGAAACTAACTAAAGACTCGTCCCCACCGGTGACCGGCATACACAAGTGAAGTCGTGAATTCAAGATGGCGTCAAGATTACGGATTCACATTAAACCCTCCCCTGGATCCTTTTCGCAAAGCCATCGTAGCTCGAAGAACGTCGTAAACGTTAAGATTTAGTATACTACGGTTAAAGCGAACGCACTCAAAGGGACCAATAACTTGAGTTCGTTATAACCGGAGTTTGTTGTACGCGTTTTGACTAAAATATGTACCATGTGACAGATTCAAGAACTGTTCATAATGTACGTCAGTTCGTTTTAAGCGTGTCCGTTATAAGCATAGTTTACTGTACATGATAATCGTAGTTCTGAGATCGCTCTGCGGTTCCTCCACGCGATGTCAGCCCGAAGACAATCAATCGTAACTCCTTCACGTTAACGTGCGATCGACGCAGTTCTAAGATTGCTTTGAAAGGTGCTCTGGTACAATCGTCTTTGCACTTCAGTTATCGAGTTGCACCGGTTGTTTAAATATATTCCTTCGTGCGTTATGACGAATCTCTGAAAACAACTCACATAAACATGATGTTCTGGACACCTTTTTCTCCTTGCAGGGCACCGGAATTGTATTTTACATTTTACGACTGTATTGGATTCTATTTCGTGTTGTATTTTCCAACTACAATTTGTTTACACCATCTAACGCTATTGGATCTCCTCGCCAATCATTGTTTTTGCCGTCCATTGACAATCGTTTCTGCCCAAGAGCACTGAACATATTGCACCAAGCCAATAAAGCCTGGAATTGATTTCTGTCGCCAACTGTTGATGTAAATCCTGGTGTCGATGGCTAATAACAGTGTCTTCTGAGATAATTGAAAACATTTCACTAGTCACGTGTTTTAGCTTCACAAATTCAAAAACAAAATTGTTTCATACAAAAAGGACCCTACATTTATTCCGCAAATCTAAACACACTACCCAACTAAATCCTCAGCGTTAAATCCCTTTCTTTATTGAAAAATTGGACCACATCATATCTCCCCTTTATGCAATATTCCAAAAACCAATGTACCACAGTTACAAATCCTACAACCTATAAGGTCCAGTGAGAGTCTCTTAAATGTTTGAATTCATAACAGTTTCCATAAAAGGACAAAAACGCGTTGTTTGTCATGTTAACGGTTACCAAACCTTTTTAAATTGCGCTCCCTGGCGCCAATCGTCTCACTAATTCCTCAAGGCTTACACACAAGACTAAAACATTGAGATGGAGTAGTGAAGGTTAGAAATAAATCGCAGAGCTAATTCTTAGAATCAGGAACCATTCCTACATCGCGACTTTCTGACTGTCCAAAGAGCTTCATCCCGATTTCGAATCTTTTCTTCGTAAGCAGTCGTAATCAAATTATGTCTCAGTCTGTTCAGAACTCGGAGACTCTGTTACCTCCCTGGATCGGTGTAAGGAGCTAGTGAATTTTTTCTCCCTTGCAATGAGGCTGAGTTAATTAAATGCCCCCAACGTCTCGCGAGTGATCATTTTCGTACCAGGTAGACGGTTTCATCGAACCTCCATCGAATAGTAATCTGTTATTTATCTTGGAAGCCTATAAAACTGTCTATCTACTCACGTAATATATTTTGAGGATGAAAGGTGCTTTAAAAAACGACTTCATGCAGTATTAACCGTATTAGATGTGAGATGAGATGTTTTTAAAGTTGCCGGATGTATAATGAACGTGGATGAATAACTATTGGGGCTTACAAGCACGTCTATTGTATCTATTTATCAGAATGGAGTTGTCTGTTTTATTTAAAAAAAACTTCGATTCAAACATTTGCGTTAGAATTTAAGTTGTGACAACATAAGATGTTCTTTACGTTAAAGGGGAAAATCTCCAACTTCAGATTCTTCGAATTCAGTTACTGATGCTAAATGTACATGATAAACTTTGTTTTATAGAAACCATTACATGTAAACCTCCCATCCATCAAATATCAGATTACCCCCGTAACATCGAGGCGTATACTATATGTGAAACATCACTTCCTAAAAATGAAATTGGATCGAGTCTCTGTCAAAGCATTCAAAAATATGTAGGGAAACAGTATAATAAAAACCGCTCAAAAGTCGTCCCTAAACAATCTGTCAAATTCCAAAAACATGAACATAAATATAAAATGTTTGGAAGTTTGTTACAAAATGAATTACCACACATGCATTATTAAATCTCGTTAAAATCGTATAGCTCACTCCGTCATGATACGTGGTAATCTCCATTGGAGAACGTCTCAGGTGAACGTTTTAATCAGCATTCAGAAAAGTACATCTGACATCTGTATCTGTAAACGAACACAATCGGGTTGTTCCGAATGCAAAAGTATAAACCCGCCATTTAATAATGTTCTTCAGTGCGCACACACATACATCCAAAAGAGACATATATTTAAAATTAGAAAGAAATTCTTACTGCAAAATATTACAACTTTCATCTTTCACCATAAAAAATGGTCTGGTATCATTAATTCAATCACATGCCACTGGTATCACTTAAGATACGTCATCATCTCTTCTGAAACCCTCCAGAATCCCCGTATGCCGTGCAGTGGTGTAAATACAACTGATTCAGCGTCAGGAGGCATAGGAAGGGGACAATTAGTACCTATCTCCCCATTTCCCTGTTATTCAGGTGCCCAGGCATCAGCAAAGCTACACCCGGGGACATAATTATATCCTGTGTGTCCCACATCAAAGGGAAAGCTGGCCCACTAACGATCTGGCTTAGAGTTGAACATGTTCGACGACAGAAAAATGCATCGTTTCTTTTGATATGAATCGGAGCAAGATGTATTTAGGCTAAAATTATCTGCAAAATATGTACTTATTTGCATCAAACAGAAGTGAAAATATATGTAGGAGATGCGATGATATGATATTTTTTGTTGTTAAAAGTATTATTTTGATTTTTATATTGTTGCGTGGAAAAGAGTTTTTTTAAAGATATTTTTAAAATATTCCATTTGACAGTCCAAGAGTCGCTATAACGTTTTGGGCATAGAAAGTGTTCTGTTAGATGTTCGTCCGTTTCATGAAATACTCCCGACCCCCAAACGGAATTTGCACCGTTATTGTAGATATAGATGGGAGTAATTCTTCGCAAATTCGGAATTGATAATTTTATATAAGTAGGAACGTCAGAGGCACATATTGTAGAAAGATCTTCAAAACGGCGTGTTGACAAAAACGTTTAAAAGTCTCCTTGGAAGTGTTTGATCGGAACTTTTCCTTAAGAAGTATCCCTAAATATAATATACGTTTGCACGATCGTATTGGATGAGAATTTTTAAGAAAATCCTCCAAAAAGAACATCAAGCAAAATTACATGGTCAATGAGATCAAACTTTAAATTAAACAAAACTTATGAAATACGTCAACAAAATCAAGACGGACAACAGCACGTGCTCAAAAAAGCAACTAGGGCCTAAATTGAAAAATGACCGCAAGTGACTCAGACTGGGGTTTGCATGGTGATGCGCAATCAACTGTACGGGAAATCAGATGTATTACAAAATAATTGCAACGCCTGGGGGTGCGTTTACTTGTTGTATTTAACCGTGCCTCAAGACTGCGTTTTCTGCTGATCGATTTTAGTAAAGTTTATTGAATTCATTCAGGCTAACGGCACCAAGGTCTGTCTAACAGAGCCAAAGCGAACCTGGCAGTGACTCAACCTTCTGTCCGACACGTGCATCGAATTGGGAGGTGCATTTCACCTTAATCACCTTGCTAATAGGATTTTTATATAGACTGATTAATTTGAGCGTTCACTGCAACAAGCGTTAGACAAGAGTTATGCCATTTTACTGGGAATCTAACTCCATTGAAAATAATTAAATTTTACAAGATTAAGCATTATGAATCGGGAAGACGTGTCTTTTTCTTTGAAGATTGTGTTCGGCTTGATGCAGACTTTGATCATCGATGGTTGAATGGGATGCGGAATTTAAATATTTCAAAGGATTAACGACTTAAAGATTAGAGGCCAAACCATCCTTGGTTATATATGGCCATATATTCGTCTTGGATTAATCCTCTATTAAGTTAAGATAAACGTTGTTGAAGTCGAACTCCTTTAAGTCGATGAGACGTTTACGTTCCGGTACAGTTCCAGTATGGTTTTAGGATTGGTAAATCGGTATTCTCGAACTATGGAAATGAACTGTGAAAGCTACAAAAGCCTTTCTAAAATCATAGGGAATCAAGTCAGAGCTTCTACTGGCCACTGGCACGTACACAGAGAACGTGTACGTACGCACGCACGCACGCACGCACGCACGCACGCACGCACGAACATATAAAAACACCACACGTGAACATACAAAAACACTCATGCACACAGACACAAATACGCAAGAAAACACGTCTTCACATCCACACACACACGCACACGCACGTACACACACACGCGCACACACAATATGTATCCATATGGTACATAACAATCATGTTTCAAAGAAATACTTATATATGTCCGGATTCATAACTTTGAGACAGATATTGTATATGCTAAATATTTTTCTATTTATGTTAAAAGAGTTTAAAGAGTTTACAGCATGTGGTATGGTTATCATTTATCAAGGTAAATGGTATTTGTCGTCAATTCGTCAGTTACACAGAGGAAGCCAATCCAGGACTGCTTTCCTTCATAAACTTTAACATTACCGCTCTTTCAAATGTGTTAATAAACACGTCACGTTGTTTCCTATGTGTTAACACTGTCACATAATTCTACGGCTGCAATAATGAAGTATTTCGACATTGCGTCCCTGAGCAGGATCCGCTGATTGTGGCGTCCAATCTGATCATGAAGATATGTCTGTACCACTTAAAACACTGTTCAAACGGCGTAAAACCACACTCACTCACTTCTCGGTATCACATTATCACACAACAAGTAGGGCAGTGGGGTAGCCTCATGGTTAAAGCGTCCGCTCCCTACGCTGAAGGCAAGGGTTCGATTCCGCGCACGGGTACAATGTGTGAAGTCCATTTATGGTGTCCCCCCGCCGTGATATTGCTGGAATATTTCTAAAAGCGGCATAAAACCATACACTCACACAACAAGTCTTTTTCATCCCCAAGTCATTTCCGGGTTAAAATTGGTCTTCAGAAACTCATGCTTGTCGTAAGAGGCGACTAACGGGATTCTGTGGTCAGGCTCGCTGACTTGGTTGACACATGTCATCGTATCCCAGTTGGGGAGATCGATGTTCATGCTGTTGATCACTGGATTATCTGGTCCAGACTCGATTATTTACAGACAGCCGCCGTGAGGCTGGAATATTGCTGAGTGCGGCGTAAAAAATATACTCACTCACTCCTTTGTGAGTATGTAACGGTTAACTGATAATACTGCTGGGTGTGGCGTTAAACAACTGACTGACTGACTGAGGCCGCTTTTAGCAATATGCCAGCAATATTCCAGCAACATCACGGCGGGGGACACCAGAAATGGGCTTCACACATTGTACCCATGTGGGGATTCGAACACGGGTCTTCGGCGTGACGAGCCAACGCTTTAACCACTAGGCTACCCCACCGCCCCGCGTTAAACAACAACCAACTAACCAGCCCAAGTCATTTCAAACAAGCAGATTTCCTATGGATGTAAGCACGATCAGAAGCCGGCAACGAAGCTAAACTAATACAGTTGAAATCTGATTATTCTCTCAGATGTTATCCGTGTTCTGTGATGCAAGAATTCATCTTGATCCTCCCTGCATCGTTCGAATGTCTGTTGACGCGCCAGAGACCCAGACAATTTTGTGGGTCCTGATGCTGAGATAGCTCTCATATCTATCCATTGAAGTTAATTGGCTTGGCATCCGGAAGGATAACATCATGCTTATAGCTTGTAATCAACATCGTATTGTATTGATGTTAATGTATACTTCGTTGCATGATTGTAAATTAACTGTTATGTCTATTGCTGGGTTGTCTCATCTCATCGCTTTCTGTGGTGTCTGTCTGTTTGAAATGTAAATATTTCGTGTAGACACATCATCAATTGCAGTGCTATTATTAAAGTTAGGACATCATTTCATGGTCATACCGTTGTTGCTAGGTAACTGATAAACAACATATTTTTTGTATTGATTGTACATTATCACATCTTGTTCGCAGACAGATGTTATTGGGTAGAAAGAGCATAAATGTCGCAACAAAAAAACACCACTATAACGATGTGTGTTTACGTGCATGTTTGTCCAATACAGCGGACCCTCGTTAATATGGACCCCGTTAATCAGTAGTTATAAGCACAGCCCAGTGATACGAAACTAAAAATATGATACGAAACTAATAATACGAAACTAAAAATATCACTCCTGCTTTGTCTGTTACTTCTGTCAGCTCTTTAATTTATTTGTCGAGGTGATTTAGGTAGAATGGAGTTAAACGTAGGGGTCACGATTGCTGCAGTTACTTAGTGACGTGCATACACGTGCGTATGTGTCACGGTCTTTTCTAGGTCGCCAAAAGCCGATTTTATGTGGCAAGCCAGCTGAGATACCAAACTTAAGTTAAACATGGCTACCCTGCTCAGACACTTCTTGCTCAACAGTTTGTTTTATCCTCATAATCAAGTCGAATTTGAAAACCGAACTCATAATCATAGGTACCTGGCATGACTAAGGGACGCAACTGTGTAAAGCGAAAGGTGTGGCTTTAGATGACTAGGTCATCCTTGCTATCCGGTGATAATGAGAAAAAATTGTATATTTACTTTCATTGTAATGTTCCAATATACGTTTTCTGTGCGCGCGTCTGTGTGTGTGTGCGTGCGTGCGTTTGTGAGTGAGTTTGCTACCTGCAAAAAAGCATAACATCACAAGAAACAACCTTAGGGGCATCAAGGAACAAAACAGAACTATTTACCTGCACTTGGTATTCAGTGAACGGTTTGAGCCCTGTCAGCACAAACTCAACGAACTGGGTAGCCGAGAAGTGCTCAATGCCGTTAGCGTTAGCCGAACCCGCCTCCCAGTACATGATCCTGTATGACGTCACGTTGCCGTTAGCCGGTTTGGGCCGGTTCCACGACAAAGTAATACTTCGAATGTCTCGCTTTCGTACTGACAGGTGGGTTGGTGGACCAGGCACTGCAAAGATAATATATAGTGTTAGTTAGTTTGAATCAGCGCCGCCTTGAACATAATTTCAAACAAGTCAGCTTGCTAGGGAGTGTGTGAGTGAGCGTGTATGCTATTACGCCGTGTTAGCGACATTCCAGCAATATCAGAGCGAGGCTTCACACATCGTACCCATGTGGGGAATCGAACCCAGGTCTTCGGTGTGACGAGCGAACGCTTTAACCACTAGGCTACCCCACTCACGCAACATGTTAAAAGGAAAACCAGAGGCCACAGCAAACCGTCAGTCACTAATAAGCCGAGGGGTGGTGGGGTAGCCTGGTGGTTAAGGCGTTCGCTCGTCACGCCGAAGACCCGGGTTCGATTCCCCATAGGGACACAATGTGTAAAGTCCATTTCTGGTGTCCTCCGCCATGATATAGCTGGAATATTGCTAAAAGCGGCGTAAAACTAAACTCACTCACTCACTAATTACCCGAAAGAATTAATTAAATAGTAAGGCCTTTTACGCGTTAAAAAAGGTAAAAAAAGGGCCTTTTATGCCGCTTTGACCAGTATTGTGATATTCTGTATGAAAGGGAAGCCCACTATGACGCAAGTCTCAGATGTTTCCCACTTTGGTGAAACACTCGAGCATGGTCATTGTGAAATATAAATCATGGTGCATCTGGGACTCAAACACATGAAAACAGGCTTCTGGCACGCTCAAGGGTCACAACTCCGCACAGCTAACTGTAGTGCCTTTGACGAATGGGTCACCCGAGCTCTCAAAACATCCTCGGCTAATAATCGAAACAAATATGCGGGTGTTTTTTCAAGAAACGAAATTAATCGTTCGTATTATCGGAGATAAATCGGTACTGGTCACATGGTTTCTGAACTAATAACATCCACGTGGCGAGGCCTAAACGTACGTATTTCGACGTATTTGGGGGGGAGGGGGCGGTAAGTGTATCTTGTGAAGCATTGTACATTCCGTTAGACTGATGACACATTAGCATTCGTACGTCTATTCATTTACCCCCAAATACGTGGAAATAACACACTTCCACTCTTAACATACATTCGTTATTCATCAATTTGATAGCTCTACATATAGGAGGGCTTGAATAAAACAACAGCATGTTGAAAAAAATACTCAGTCAGTAGTGTAAAATACGTCTCCACGGAATGATAAATATAAATAATTTCCTTGTCTTTATCAAATCGATGTCGAGGGGTATTGTGATACAGTCTTGTGACAATTAGTAAAAGGTAATGGCCTCCGTAGATCATAGCGAGAGCAAAAAAATACATTTCCTGGGGACTCTTCCAAAGCTCTGGTTCTGTCACAGGCCACTACGCACAGATCATAAAAGCTTAAATAAAAGCATGGCTCGGTGCGTAGGCATCATAAACGATTCTGATGAATCTTTTCATAATTCGCACACCAAACAAAGCAAAGTTCAAACCCTTGACAAAAAACAGCTTTTGTTCTCAGTTTGACTATCGATGCGTACGAAATACTATCATGCACTCGCACGTGTGTAATCTACCTGCCACGAGACGAAATTGACAAGGCTTTCAGTGCATACACGCAGCACATTTCCATAATGAATGACTGGAAGTATTGACATTGACAAGGCAGGATTATACTGCACATCAGGTGTGATCCTTTGAAGACACACCGCGTGGCCAGTACCACGTGATCGGTGACTCGACAGTGCACATCTTTAAGATAAACATTTGTTTCATTTGTGAACTTTGATTAATTTCAATTTTTAAAATAGAAAACAGAGTTCGTGATTGAACCATCTGATATTAACACTCTTGTATGATTGCGATGGTTCGAAAATGGTTTCAGTCAGCCGTATGAGCCAGTTCGGAACACAAAATGCAATCATGAAAATATGATTTTTTTAAAAAGTTCAATGGGATTTTTTGGTCTCACGGGGTAACGTCGGTGCAAGAGAAATCAATATAAAGCAGTTAAGTAGGAAATAGTATTAGAACATTAGTATAATTATTAATTCCTGTTAAAGATGTACTCGTTATTTTACAATGCCTATAAGCAATTTAGTTGCATTTAATGGTCTATGGAGAAACTCCAAATTAACGTCAACGATTCAATATCTGTTATGAAAAAGTACTTTTATTCTACAAAATCGATCCCCGGACCAAAATACAAGGTGTGACTGATATTCATCATATCATCATTTTATGTTCCTCTAATTTGACGTAATGGCGACACGCCTATGATATTAATGGTTCGTAGTGAAACTTTGTCATCAATTATACAATAATGATCCTAAATTGGCATTGTTAGCTAACGATCAACTTCATAGAAACCATTTTCAACATCACAGTTTTCCATTTAATAAGTGATCAGGACACAAATTATATTTGTTACCGTACATACTGAAAAAAAGGTAATAGACACTGGTTTGGAAGACTTTGCTTTTGGAAAGGATGAATTGTGTTGTAAATGAACGCTTCCTTGAGATTAGTAACATCAATCTCGAATCATATACAATTCACGGTTAGGACAAATGGATGTGTATTATGAAAACGCATCATCATCATCATCATCATCATAATTTTCATCATCACTGCCTTTGATGTCGCCGTAAATGACTCATAAATAAAACACCTCGCACTCACTTTGGGCAATGTAAATACAAATTCAAGGCTTTTAATCCTATCTAAACAACCCATCTAACACAATCACTGTTTTGAATATTTCATGCGTGAGGCCCACATGTTAAGATCCACAGCTGGCCAGCGCACTTACATGTCTCGGGTGTTGTCAGGCATTGTCTTTCCGAATCCGGACTTAGAAACCCTTTGTTGGTAACATAACGGACTTGAATGCAGTACTGAGTGAATGGACTGAGGTCCCGGATAACCATCATTCTTCCGTCACCCCCGGGGTAGTCCACGTCTTGGTCGTCCCGTCTCCCTGAGGGCTTGTGACACGTACTTTGTACTCCTTCACAAAATCACAATTGAGGTCCTCTGGGAGTGGGTCCTGTGTCGTATAAAAGATATTATAAATAAAGTGCATTTTTAATAATTAGGACAATTGCCTTTCCGTGTTCGACACGGTCGTGGAAGCACTATATTATTATTTGAACACTTTTCTATGTTAGTCATGCTTAAGGTGAAAGGTGACAGATTGACTGCTGTTATTGTATGGTGCTTCCTTCACGCAAAATATACCCACGAGGACTGCTCATTTTAGCACCATGCTGTTAGATGCCCTTCTGCGAGACCCTGGTGAATACATTTGGGTTTTAACATTCAAAAACTATTTTTTCATTTGTGGCAAACCATTTGCGTGAAGCACGCTGATGAAAAATGATTTTTTACCAAACCAGGCTATTCATTTACAAAAAGCTGGTAACACCAACAAAAGATTTTCCGAAAAATCAAAGCCATCTAAAGAAGCATTAACGCAAACATTTTGCATTTCTGATAGTGGCTGTTAACTTTGTTGACTTAAAAATTACCTCCCTTTGTTAGCTGAAACGGTGAGTAATTTATTGAGTTGTAACTGAAATGCTCCCCTTAATGAATTTATTATTGATACTTCCATGCTCACCGTCAGTCAAACAACGAAATTAAATCATTGCCACTCTGAGAGAATGGAAATGGAATGGAACCCATCTGGTACTGTGCGAAGGCTCAGAATGCCACCTGCAGATCAATTGTGCATGCTGGGAGACAACGTTTATCAAATCTAAACATGGCAATTAGTTAATGTGATGAAATCGTTACTGTCTTCAATAGCAGGACGCGGATGTAGCCACAGGGCTACGTATACATCATTTTAATTATTTTTTATAATTATTTCAGTTGAATCACGTCTTCATGTGAAACCAGGATACGGTTGATTGCAGTAAAAAGCTAGACTAGGAGTTAATGTACTGGAGAAACGTGTTACAGGTTCCAACATGTAGTGATGCGCTAAGTGATGGAGTTTGTGAGTTTAGTCTAGGCTTCTTTTGGCAATATTCCAGCTACATCACTGCGAAGGGGCGCCGGATGTGGGCTCCACATTACGTACCCATCAAGGGAAACGAACCCATGCCTTGGGATGACGAACCCGCACCTTAACCACTAAGCTATCTTATAGCCGTTCGGGTGTGCACCCGTGAAGAACCGGGTTAGAATTTGTGTTCATCAATGCATGCTTGTCGTAAGTAGCGACAGGCTCGCTGACTCGTGACTGTATCCCAATTGCATCGATCGATGCTCATGATGTCAATCACTGGATTGTCTGGTCCATGCTCGATTATTTACAGACCTCCGTCATATAGCAGGAATATTGCTGAGTGCGGCGTTAAACAAACAAAGAAATACGAATGGTCACAAGATATGGGCTCCACATTATGTACCCATGTGTGGGGAAAAGAACCCACGCCTATTGATGAGGAGTCTGCACCTTAACCACTAGTAGCCTGTGTGGGGGATGTGGGAGAGATAATTAGGATCTACCAGTATGTTATGTACACTATAACTGAATACACACACAACAGATAGGGACAGTCCAGGTGAGGTCTTAATGTGACTGTGCTTGACCAATGGTCATGAAAATAGAAGAATATTTAAAGGTTTTTCAAAACTAATATAAACTTTAATACACAAGTTGCCTGAGCCTAATACATTATGAAATTTGTTTCTATCCCTACCAAATGTTGATAAGTATAAATGAATGTAACATTACTCCTCGTCACAGCCCTCCCAATTCTCCTTCCCTGATGATCCATATTATACATGTTCACAAAAATCAATGATTTACAAGACCCACCCAAGACTATGTTTCATATTGACGACCCTTCCCTGACTCCTAATTGACAAGACATGAAATCTCTACGTCATCTCGTTGATGAAATATCAATACCTCATTACTGAGGTGATGTACATTCGTATAGATTTCTGTATACTTACAATCCATTTGACTGTGATGACGGTTTTAGGAACTGTGTCGTTCACCTGAACGAGTGTCTTCACTTCCTGCAGCGTTGGCCCAAGGCGGGGCGCTGGAAAGTTGAGAGAACATCAATGTCACAATTATCATCATCAGTTTTGACAGAATATATGTATATTTCAGAGACAGTAACTTGATGACATCCCTCTTAATGGCCATTGTATTGGTTGGTTGGTTGTTTAACGCCACACTCAGCAATATTCCAGTTATATGGGCCCGGTCTGTAAATAACCGACAAGACAATCCAGTGATCAACATCATGAGCATCGATCTACGCAATTGGTATACGAAGGTCAACCAAGTCAGCGATCCTAACCACCCGATTCCGTTAATCGCCTCTTACGACAAGCATCGGTTGCTGAAGACCAATTCTATCCCGGATCTCCATGGGTAATGACTATTGGAAATATCCTGGACGTCACACCACGGTGTGGGAAGATTTGAGAATAGGAACTCATGGTCGCTGGGTGCTGGCCACTTTGGCAAAAGCCACGACCAAGGAGGGATATGGTGCTGATGGATCTAGAAACATCATAAAGGTGACCTGTGATTTGAACACAGATCACAGATTCCCGGCATGTCTACGGCCAACCCAAACCTCTTACGGTACATTGGAAGACTGGCTACCTACCCCAGTAATCTATTGAACTGACATTAATGACTGGAAAGTGGTCAATGGATGACGTCAAAAGTATTTTAGCACAAAAGAAGAGCGTGGGGAAATATATGTACCTATTTCACCCTTTCCCAGTTTGAAATTTTTCAGAGGCTTTCAAATTCAAACTGAACCTTGAAGCAGATCTAGCAAATGAAGCAAATCTGGATTTCCTCAGGTTCAGAGCTGACTCTTCCTTCTCATTGGGGTTCCTTTTCAATTGAAACGGAATTATTTGTTTTGATCAAGATTATATTCAGAGATTAAGTCTATGTAGGATTCTGTGACTTACCCCGCCCAGCAACACAACCAATATGACTGTACGACTCGCTGACCGCACCCACCTGCACATTTTGTGGTGACGTGTATTATCGGCCCGGGGGGTCCTTCTCCACCCTCCTCTTTGTTCCTCGTGACCACGTAGATGGCGTACTTGGTGTTGGGGGTGAGCTCGGTGATCGTGAAGGCACACATCTTCTCACAGAATGTATGGTAGACCAGCCCGGTCATCCTGTACATCTTCTCCGCCTTGGCCTTGACGTTGATGCTGTACCACAAGATGGGTCCGTCCCCTGTATCCCCTGTCTTGTCGTTCCACTTGTGCCACTGGATGGTGATGTTGGTGGCCGTCACTGACCCATCCCTCACCTGCGGAGCTCGACTCAGACGTGGAGGTTCTGTCAAACCAAGCATTTATTAAAAATTACTTTCTATCCCCCCGGCATGTAATGCGGGGGGATATAGTCGACGCCTCGTCCGTCTGTCCGTCCGTCCGTAATCATTTTGTTTCCAGGGCATAACTCCAAAACCGTTCAATATTTTCCAGCAAAAATTGGTAGATATATCAAACAGAACCTAAGGTGGTGCCTTTTGCTATTTACACACTTTAGTCATTTTTATTTTTCTCGGTTTTCATGGAAACGTTTTGGACTTAGTCTTAAAGGGGGGTGGGCTTCGTTTCCGGAGCATAAAAAAAGACTTGGTAGATATATCAAACAGAACCTTAAGTGGTGCCTTTTGCTATTTACAGATTTTTGGCATTTTCATTTTTCCTTAGTCCCAAAAGGGAGGGGTGGGTTTCGTTTCCGGAGCACAACTGGAAAACTTCTTAATATCTTTCAGCAAAACTTTGCAGATATGTGAGGCAGATGCCAAAGTGGTGCCTTTTGCTATTTGCAGATTTTTGTGATTTATTATTTTCTAGGGTTTCCATGGAAACGATTCGGACTTAGTCCCACAAGGGAGGGGTGGGCTTCGTTTCTGGTGCACAACTCGAAAAGCGTTCAGTATTTTTTAACAGAACTTGGCAGATAGATATATTAGGCAAATTTTGAAATGGTGCCTTTTGCTATTTACAAATTTTTGGCATTTATATTTCTCATGATTTCCATGGAAACGATTTGGACATAGTTTGAAAAAAAGTCAAGCTGGACTTTAAGTAACTGTCAGATGATTTGTTCTTTCAAAAATGTGGGGGCCGGGGGATATGTCATCTTCTTATGACTCTTGTTTAAACAGGTTCTCGTGGCGTATAACCTAAACCCAAGGTGACACAGGTTAAGTGTGTTTCTACAACTTTGAAAGTAACGGGTATGACGATGACTCCAAAAATCCCGTTCAGCTGATCCTGGTAGGAGTGAGTGAGTGAGTGAATTTAGTTTTACACCGCTTTTAGCAATATTCCAGCAATATCACGGCGGGGGACACCAGAAAATGGCTTCACACATTGTACCCATGTGGGGAATCGAACCCAGGTCTTCGGCGTGACGAGCGAACGCTTTAACCACTTGACTACCCCACCGCTCCTGATCCTGGTAGGACTAAGGGAAGCAACTCTACGTGAACATGTATTTCTTTTGGATATGACATGTACTACAGCTAATAATAAATATCCAATATACGTAAATTAGGGAAAGGTGTTTAACACTGTCGTCAACAACATATACACAAGTTGATCACTAACGCATATCTATGGTCGATAGACCGATACTTTCAAAGAAACTTCTGAACTACAACGAGAATTTCATTTTCATTACAAAAAAGGTCTGAAAATGGATATTTATAATATTTTCGACATAGCCATAAAACGTTCGGAATAATTTACTCCCGGAAAGGAGGCTGTTATTAATTCGCCATTTTCTCAACACTTGTTCGGAAGCACCGCAGAGGGCGCCGACACACACCAGCTAATTAATCTATGAGGACATATTGACTGAAGGGTCGAGTCGTGTGTCTGGACCCCGTCGCGGCTCAGACAGTGTGCTGAGGAGGTGTTTCTATCCCACAAACCGTTGATTTCAATACAAAAACATTCTCAGTCAGCAGGAGCTACATGGAATGCCCATTACAAGCTTAACCCACGAGGACTTACATGTCGCCTGAGAATCTTACAACCTGACGAGAGCTCGTTCTGCACTAAAACACCATTCTGTTTTTAGTAACCACTACATGTTTATTGTTTACAGAAGCCGGGCAAAACCATGATGTTTTCATAACCTGGCAATGCCCCGTTTCGTTTTATACAGACAGTCTTCTATTTTTATGCAACCCGGGAAGTGTTGTTGACAAAAACCGGACAAAACCATGACATTTATCCTGACGTTGATAGTGAAGACACAGGCATGATCTGTGACACCAAGACGCAAAGGTCAGTCTCGTTTGAAATGATCTTTTATCAATTAACACCGTCAAAGAGAAATCGACAACTAATGAAAGAAATCAATTGACACAAAATTGCACACGACCTTCATTTGGGCAAGATCAATGAGGATGTGCTGGACATGAGAAGATGACGATCACGGGATCAATTCAGCAACTGCTGCCAATGTGTGTACATCAATTAGGACCTCTAAGAGGATTTATTACATTCCGGTTTTCAAATGTCTTCTTTCCTTTCAACCCGGCACAGTTTGACGTAATGAATATTCAGAAATATATAACCTTTCCCCACATTATCCAGTTCTCAATACGTCCTGTTTATATTTTCCAAGATATCGAATAATGGAGACGTGATATTTACACAAATCTTTCAATTAGATATGAATCAATAAATCCCGGAGCGCTCTGTAAATATTTTTTCCTGAATAGTGCTGTAGGATTTTGCTTAATCTTTTCAAGAAAAATATCTGTTGCCAATTATTGCATAAAACTAACACCATCTTGATAAATTTAGAATCTAAACGCTCACCTGATGTCCTTGTATAAACTTGACGGGATCGTTAACCTTTGTCTTACAACACTAGCTTGTGGACTATTTCTAATACCTGGCTGTAAAGTTTAGATGCCTATGACATCAGTAAATATTATCCGCCAGGCAAATGGTGCCGTTATCATACAAAACCATATCACATTTCCGATATTTAATCAGACTTCGCTGAAAGTTTACGCTTCAAATTTAGAACCTGACGTGAAAAGAGATTTAATTCCTTATCGCACTTAAGGCATTTTCATTGAGCAAAAATATTCCATTTTAATCAAATTAATTCTATTCGTGTCGTTATTTTAAAAATCAATCATGGACAGAAACAAATCTACCGAGAAGATCTTCATCAACACAAACATCAATATGACGTCGACTGTGCTTCTATACCCAACTAGCTACAGCCTAGTGTCATGTGTTTCTTTATTGCCATTATTTATTCTATGTCACAGGAATCGATAAGATTAAGGGTATATCTGGATTACAGGATCGTCTTGGACAAATGTTTCTCAGAGAAATCTACAACGACGTTCTTTGATCTGACGGCCGTTCCTTAAGCATGGCCTGTCCCACGCAAATCAAGTATCAAGGAAACCCCAGCTTTATGGCAACACGTCGGGGACTTTGCACCAGAAATGTTTCACCAATCTCTTAATAAATGACCATCAGGTAGGATTATTTCAGAGGATGGCCAAAACGGTCATTCGCTTGCTAAGCCCCGTTGCTATGGGAACAGGTATCTACGAGATTACTTCAAAGAACGATTTGTAGTTTTCTATTATCAAATGTGTCACTCAGATCAGTGGGATTTACGAGAAGCCTCACATCATGACGAGTAATAAATCTGTCTCGGAGAAATATTTTTCCAGAATAAATTCGTTAGAATAAGGCCGGGAGACAACCCGCTACAATTGTGACTGATGTTAAACACATCCAAGGTAAAGGTCATCAAGTCAAACAAAATTTCGATTCATCAGGTTTTCGGTTCCCACGACCCTGTCCGCTCATACTGGGCAGTCACGACCACCTGAATTCTACAGGTCAGCTTCAATCGTTAAAAGCAATTATTAATTCCAATCCACCTATCCAAACGAAATCAAAAGGAGCTTACCGAAGACTTCAGCCAAGATGGTCATCGACGTAGACCCCGCTGTTGCTTGGACAAAACACGTATAGCGTTCACCGGTCATGACGTAATTGACCTTGAAGAGGTTGATCCTGGTGTAGAGATACTGATCCAGGGTTTTGGACTCCAAGAGGGTGATTCTCTTACTGGAGGGGCCCCTCAGCTGAATTTCACTCTCGAATGGGGTGGGGAAGGCAGCCACGGTGCAGTTAAAGACCGAGGGCTGTCCTGGATTCACGACCGTGTTCTCGAAGGCGACAATACGGGGAGCGGTTACTGGAAGTTAAATTGGGTTTTGGATGTCAAACACAGTGTGAATTTGGTTCAACGAATACAATGTTAGAATTTGTCCAAATGCACAAAACGGTTCAAATCTGGCTTGAAAATTATCAGTGTTCGAGGATGAAATCGATATATCTCAAAAACATGTAATTAAAAAAGTTTGTTTTAACTTGAATATTTTATAAATAGTTTCATTGACGAAACTTCGGTCCAAATCAGTTTCTTCACGAACATGTGCAAGCCAGATGTGAGTTAGATTTAAGAGTTAGTGTGCGGATACTAGCTATCATGCGTTATTGTTATTCAACATTCCGTGACTTAAAACGAAACATGGTTGAAGATGTCAGCAGCCGCCATATTGCTGAAACAAATGCGTCTACTATAAACAAAGCATGGTGCAATTAGGTGCACTAGTAGAAACCAAACGCATGCAGTTCCACCACAATCGTTTCAAGATACCAATTCCGGGTGATGAAAGTTGCAACAAGTTACCATTATGTCACACATTTCTCTATTGAAATTTTCTTAATTTGTTAAGATTTCTTTAAAAAATATTTTTAGATCTTACCTTTTTTACGATTAAAAAGTTAAAAAGACATTACACAAAATAGATTTTTCCAGAAATTTTGTGAAAAATAATATACAAAATGTTGAATTTGGTTTAGTAAAATCAAATGACATTCCAAAAGTCTAACGGAACAAAAACTAAAAATAACCCAATAGCTATAAGCCGGCGATTTTTAGCCACAACAACGAAATGTTAGAATGACATGTTCAGATATTACCTGGTTCGCAAAGCGGAGGGTTAAAATATCCCTTCTTGCATTTGCAACTGGACTTAGGTCCAGTGAAGCGATCACAGTCCTTTTTATTTTTACACTGGCATTCCTTGGCGCAGGCCCACCCATACCTGTTGGCGGGGCAAGGAGTAGCTGAAATATCAAACTCAGTCAATCAACACGCCACGTCAAACTAGTCATGCATTGTCATGCTGTGCCAAGGGGAGATAACTCTAAAGTGTCATACCCGTTTCCGGCATGGACCAAGTTCGCCTCCCTATAACCATTACTGTCAACCGTTACTGATGTAAAACACTAGGCATGCCCACATGTATGTTAAGTTGTAAAATAACCAACCCGAAAACATTGCAACAATAATGCTTTGATGTTTGATAAAGGTTTCAACCCCAAAACAATCAATACAACTGTTTTTGTATATTCAGCACTATTTCAGCTTCATTTCGTCAGCCTGCTTACGACGTCGGTTGTTTGAAAACAAACTAGGTGTCGATGGCATGAACACCGAACCATACCTTCGGGAACGATGTGTTATACTGGCGTTGAATTCCACGATGGTAACCCATCCAGGATGTGTCAACTTCCAGCAACTATTTTGACCACCGAATCCCCAGTTCTACTGAATGGAACCAAAGCAGCACCCACCCAAACTTTTTTGATGAAATGCATTAACCAGAGCGTAAACGTACAGTTGATAATGTACAACATAATTATCTTGTGGATATTCAAACACTTCTTCTAACCCTAGGTCATTTAAACGCAAATCAGAAGTGAAAATAGTTTAATTAAAATTTATTTCATGGCTAAACATATAGTTTTAATACTATTCCTTGAATGAAGACCATTCTAGGTAAAGCCAACTATTCTTGGAATTTACTCGTGTATATTCAGGTGTCTCAGATAGCAGGGATATCAGGCTGTGCTCTACGGGGAGGGTATGCAACTAATAGATGGTCTTCATTCAGCAATCAAAATCTTTACCTATCAATCATATTGTTCTTTAGCTTATTGAAAACTCAGTCAAGTGCGTTCATCATTAATACAGTTTGTGTACGTGCATACCAAAAACAGGTATCACATACTAAGAAATCAATCCGCGAGTCCTTATACTTGCAGGTGGAGATCGATCTTCGATAATCACATCAAATCACCTGCGCAATTCAAGCGAGTGAGGTCTATAGACCAAAAGTAGCTATGTCATATCTAGTGATTGATATTTTTGTGTGCTACTGTAATCATGTATACATAGTCATGGAACCGTGGGTTCTTAATTAAAGATTATTTAGTAAGTGGTTCGTGAGAATTGATTCACGGCTGTTTTCTTCTATTAGTTGTTTGATCGTACTTGACTGTGGCGTTGTATAGTTCGGTGAACCGACGGCGTTCGCTGGTAAAGCCGATCCTTGTACACATCATGCGGTGATAAGGGCTGAGTCACGCATGTATTTACGCAATGTATTCATGATGCACACGAAGAGTGATGGAGTGAGTCGTTTTATGTCGCCTACAGCATTATTCCAGCAATATCCCAGGCGGGGACACCAGAAATGGCCTTCTAACATGAGGGGATTCATACCTGGGTCTTCGTCGTGACGAGAGAACGCTTTGACCACTAGGCTGCCCCACCAGCCACCCCTACGAAGGAGGGGCGGTGCACGGGGCCAATCATCCTCACCATTGCTCTCTCTCTCTCTCTCTCTCTCTCTCTCTCTCTCTTTGGTCATTAAAGTCACTCTACGCGATGTAACTTCGACGTATATGCTCATTACTACCGGGTACCCGTCTGTTTTAGTTTGAGGAAGGTCAGAGAAAAGCTTCAATAACTGTCAGGGGCGAAGTGTTTCAGTAACCCATCCACACCTATCCTGAAATCAATGGACTAAGCATTATATATTGTATAGGACGCATCGGTTATAACCTGACGCCACGCTTGCTATATTACGGCGTTGTAGTAGATGGGTGCAACGATTTTGGAAAAATATTCACGGCATAAGGTTATCGGTGTCGGCGTATTTCTATCTGAATACCGATATAATTCATCACATGAAAGTGTATAATCTACTGTAGACATCTTTGTAAGATGGGATGAGGATACGTGCTCTTCCAAAACGTTCCAGAAAAATATCACCATAAACGAGATAACGACTATAATTGATGCATTATGACGTTAGAATCCACAATATTTCATATGCGGTGATGAGCGAGATAAACAGGGTTATATGGATATTGAGACTGACACTCCCCAGGGGTCTATATCCAATTATGGAATACGGATTGTCAATTGGCAATGATATCAGGCCTGTCAGAATATGCTTGTGTGTCCAGTTTTAGATGCCCATTCGGGTGATAATAATCGCTAAAAGTTCTTTGGGGCTTGTTTGTGTTAGTTTGTAGAAAGAAAAAAAAAGGCAGAAAATATAGACAAGTAGCCAAAATAGATTTGAATGAACAATAGATACACCAAAGAAAGAAAGTGAAACAATGAGGGAAAAGAAACAGTGAGAGAGTGAGAAGAAAGACAGAGAGGGAAGGAGAGAGATTTGCAAAAAAAATCATTAACGCAAAAAAATACAAAGTAAAAACTCAAAATATACTGAGAGAAACAAATAAAGGATCACAGGAAAATACACGCGTTCGTTTAATATTTTCCAGTTTTCATCACCAGCTCTGAATAGCTCTGTGGTGATGAAAATATTAAAGGACTGCTTGAATTTTCCTGTGATCCTTAAGTGTTTCTCTCAGTATATTAATCATAATGCACTTCCGTGTGCAAAATTGCAGTGTTCCATACATGCACATGGCATAGAAGGTGAATCGGCAACAGATGAACACGACAAAATCATTACAACCAGCATTACAATGTCACTGGTCCAAAGATAAAGGTGTGACTACATATCCCTTCATCGTATACAAAGACCCCAAAGAGTTACACAAATATAAGTATCGATAGGCGATTATACCATAACGACCCCTTTAACATATAGGAACAATTGCGACAGGTTTGTATACTCTTTATAGACTGGCAGGACCCTATCTCCTCAAGAACGATCTTCGCTATTGACCAACCCTCAAAGATAGATTAAAGCATAAATGGTTCAAGAAGGCAATCACGAGCTCCTAATCCGCCTCGGTTCCACTACTGCCACGCAAGCTGTAATTTCCTACGGGTGGCATTAGCGTCCCTCGCTTAATAGTGTGTATCTCTGACCAGAGAGATAGATCGTGATTCGGAGAACATGGCTTAATCAGAAACTTGCTTTCTTTACCATCTCAGAGACTGCGACTCGCGGAAGCATCCTGTAAGGAAAGTCTCTTCGAGGATTCATTACTGGTGTCACTCTTGCGTAGACTAAACTGATTGACTACTCTTTATCAGCCTTCACAAGGTCTCGACAGTTCAATTATTGCCGAACGGGACTGGAAGGATTCAATTTCTGTAAATTCAAATCCTGAAAAGGTTGCTTTTGTGAAAGGACAATTTTACTTTTGGTATCACGGCTGAGTAAATAGAATTATTCTTGTTCGGTAAATCTAAACAGTGGCACAATACAGTCTTTACAATGTGGTAGCTGTTGGATGGCTCGCACTGTGGAACTGTATATTCGCGAAAGGTCTGTTTTGGAATGGCTGGGGATTTCGCACTGTAGATCGATTGTTTTGTATCGCTGATTATATTTCATAAATACATTGATAGCCTTTACTAAATATTGATCCAGAATATCCTTGTATTAAAAACAATAATTTTGATAATTAAAGGTCAACTATTGGCTTGAAAATCGAAGAAAATTTGATTTGTCTTGAAGGGAAATTTTTACTGTGGCCTGGCATTTGCAGAAATTAACACAGAATTTCCCGAAACCAGATTTATGTAAGCCAGGATTCTGTCCAGCGCTGGTTATATTTAATCAAAGACGATCATTTTCAATCACATTGAACAGCCTTGGGAATTATCCTAATTATGACTCAATAGAAGTGGAGAGAATCGTAGTAATAATAACATTACAAGGAGTGATTTGTATCTTTACGAGCTTACGTCGGGGGTGAGTTAGAATGAAGTAGCCGATTCTCACACGTTTTGGTCGCTAATACTATGCTACAGCATGAGTTGGCTCCAATCAGAAGGACTATCTCATAATTTAGTCTTATCTGTGGCACCGTGTCAAGACGCCTTGTAATCAACCAGTGTTTTATTGCACTGCCCAATATAACTGGCGAGTCTCCTCGCCTGCAGCGGTCAAAGTAAACCATTCGTTTTGTCCTCTGAAAATATTCAGATTTAATTTTGCAAATGATGTTCAAATCAGGACCAGTGGCACAAGTGGTACTGCTATTTGTTCTTTGATTTAAATCTCTCCTATCATTTCTAGGAAACACGCTACAAATTGCGATTTTTTGCTTGAAATTTTCTCGAGACTTCTGTAATCTTCGATGATTTAGAGTCAAGCTGTTGTCCTTTTTCATCATTGTTCCGCGAATATCCCGTAAAGAAGACACTTTTTCGAGTAATTTTTCTGACATTTAAGTCAAACTAAATCAATCGATTTTCAATGTCTCTCCGTGGGCTTAAATTAACTGTTCCAAGGCGCTGGTATTTTTGGTAATCCTGTTAAGATTTTCGTAAATTCTTTACAGATGTTGAGAACCGGCTCTCACATTGATTCCAAAGTTGTTGTATTAGAATGAGATGTGTGCATGAAAACTTAACAAGGACAAGTGTTTTTTAAGGTTTGCAGGAAGCGACTCAATTATGATACTCGAGTTCCATTTTGTCAAATAACGAACGCCACGCGATATAAGCGACACATTCTCTGATGTGTTCATAAGGCCCAGATGTACCAATTCCCTTAAGAATACACGCACACCTTTAAGAACCAGAAGTGTCCGACAACTTATTTTCTTCTTAATTAAAGATAATTAAAATGTTAGAGATATATTTTATATAATTATGAACTAGTTAGTTAAGGTAATCGACAGAATTAACATATTGGTTTATTTCAAAGGATTTTGTCATATTAAAACCACAGGAATCTGTTTCAGATGTGAATCAATCTCTCGTCGTAACCTTTGAGAAGGTAGCGTAGAATAATTATAATGCAGAGTCGGGTTTCACAAATCCCTTTGCAAGAAGACGCAGGCAGTGCGTATGGTAACTTACGTGTTTGACAGTCGTAACCAGTCCATCCAGCAGCGCAGCCGCTCTTGCACATTCCCAGGATGCTATCGCAGTTCTCGGTGTACTCCTTACAGTGGCATTCCTTTCCGCAGTTGATGCCAAATCGGGCAGGGGGGCAATCTGAAGGAGCGGAAGCAAACTGATATTACGCTGCACTGAGTAGTACATGTATAATACTATGTAACGTGGCTGCACTCAGTAGTATAATACTGAGTAGCGTGGCTGCACTGAGTAGTATAATACTGCCTAAGGTCGCCCAGAGAGTAGTACACTTTATGACGTCTTTGTAGTAGTATGGTACTACACAACGTTGCGCTGTTGAGGTGACTTGAGGTGAGGTGAGGTGAGGTGAGGTGAAATTTGGTTTAACGTCGTGCTTGAGAATATTTCGCTCATATGACGAAGTGCATGCGTGTGTATGTGTATGTGCGCCTGCTTGTACTAGCCCAGACTTAAGCTGGTTTTATAGTGCTAGCCCACTGAGATACCATGCTGCAGTGAAGCATGAATACCCCACTCAGACACATTATACTGACTCCGAGACGACCAGTCCTTGTTGTACCCATTAATGCCGAGCGCCAGGCAGGGACCAACAAGTACGGTATCTTTTGGTATGACGCGGTCGCGGATCGAACCCGCGACCTTCCGCTCTCCGGGCGGACGATCTAACCACTACACCACGGAGGCGGTCCTGCGCTGTTGAGTGGTTTGGAGGCTGGATTGAGACAACCAGTGGTTGACAGTGTGAGTACCAATTAGGGTACCACATGGGTACAATGTGTGAAGCCCATTTCTGGTGAAGTCCATTTCTGGTGTCCCCCGCCGTGTTATTGCTGGAATATTGCTAAAAGCGGCGTAAAACCCAACTCACTCACTCACTCCAAGGCACAACCTCTGTAGACCAGTGGTTCATGGAAGTAACACCAATCCATAGTGACACACATTAATTTGGCTCTTACCATGAATATCAAGTGTCATCTCTGATCAGATGACGGGAACGAGAGATGGTTTTCCAACCTTGGTTGTCATGTTAAATGCTGCTAACACTACAATAATGTTTCAGCTGTATGACGGCGACCTGTAAATCATCGTGTCAGGACCAGACAATCCAATGATCGATATTGTGAACAAAAGTCCACACCGCTGGGGTACGATCACATGCTATGAACCAAGTCATCGAGCCTGACCACACGACCCATTACGTGAGTGAGTGAGCGAGTTTAAATTTACGTCGCACTCAGCAATCATCCAGCTATATGGCGGCGGTCTGTAAAAATGAGTCTGGACCAGACAATCCAGTGGTCAACAGCATGAGCGTCGATCTACGCAACTGGGATATAATGACATGTGTCAACCAAGTCAGCGAGCCTGACCACTGATCCAGTTAGTGGCCTCTTACGACTAGCATGGGTTACTGAAGATCAATTCTAATACGGATCTTCACGGCCCGATCCATTAAGCCCTATCATAGGACCAGCATCAGTTACTAGGGAGACATCCAAACCCGGCTTCTCACTCGTTATCTTCCATGTACATAAGAGTGTCTGAACCAGATAACGCAGTGTTAATTGCCCAGTCAACGACCAGTCTACGATAACATTTACCAGCCAGACCATTCAACAAGGCGATCGTTTTGTTAAGACCTAGACTAACATTTAGTCTCTGAAATAAACATATGTTACAGAAAACGAGTTTTAGATTAAAATATAATACAATAAAAAGGAGCCCACAGACTTTCTTCCAGAAACCGTCACAGAAACACATTCTAGACTTGCATGGGCTGCATTGGGTATATTTGTTTCAGGGTTTGTATGACAGACTAGTTTAGACAATTGTAAGTCCCATACTTTAGCACAGCATACGATCAACGCAGGGCTAAGATCACTCTGCGGATGTCAGTGCCCAGTCACATATCGCGTACAGATCGTACAGGTAAGACTGTCAATGGTGAGAGTCAGAAAGTCTGGATAAACGCTTGGACGTCTGTACGCCATTTTCCTAGTCTGTCTCACAGTCCCTGAACCACATTATTTTCCATACTGCCTAGCCCTCCCTGCAATGCTAAAGCGCTAAATGAAGCAAGTCTAGATTTCCTCAGGTTCTGAATCTCTGGTCTCCCAGGGGCTCCTTTTTAATTTAAAATAGGTTTATGTGTTACTATCAAAATTAAATACATATATACTCAGAGACTAGTAATTTTGTTTTGGTATCGTGACACACCACGGTCATACAGAGTCAATGTAACGTTTTCCGATGCATTGTCAGCTGACCTATAGCAAATGCCAAAAAGTCATGAAAGATCCAGATTTCAGTGGCGAACTAAAACGAAAAATCTGAACATCATTTTGTGTCAGAGTATCTCACACAACTATGGGTTCAGTCGGGAAGCCAGACTCCTGAGATTGTGGGTTCGAGTCCCTATTTCAAGGTTTGTTCGTCCCACAGTCTCGCTCGTGGATGTCACCAAGAGATAAAGAGAGCTGTATCGCTATTCGACATCAAGCTCAGATGTTATGATGTTACCGAAAAACTGCTCTAAATTCCACACAGTTTTTAAAAAAACAATATCCCAAAGCCCCAAAGCAAGTCTACAATAGTCTGGGAAATCTAGACTTCTTAAGTTTCGAAACTGCATTGTCTTTCCAAAACACCGTATTTCAAAAACAACAATTACATTTATCAATGTCCCTAAACCATGCTCTGCCCTTACTTTGGCGTCCCTCATGACTAGTTGCTTTCATGATGCATATACGATTTGAAATTCTGGGATCCTGAGCGTCACAGTATCATCCCAGCAACATCACCGTGAGGGACGCCAACAACGGTGGTATTGTACCAACATTTGGAATCGAACCCAGATCCAGCGTAATGAGCAAACACTTCAACCACATGGCTACCCGAAGCCTCCCTCATGATCAACACTGGCGAGACGATCGAACTCGCTGACCCCGTTACCATACAACAAAGATTGATGTTACCCTTATTTACACTGCAGATTAGGACGTTTTGCGTGACCAGCATAGCCTCTGAATACCCGCCAGGCACTGGTGTTAATAATTAGCTTGTTAACATTGCAGGAGGTTGTAGAAACTTACTACAGTTGTTGATGCTGCAGTATTGCCACCTGGCCCGCGGCTCCGTCGTGTAGCACCACGGTTGGGAGGAGTCGGCAGTGGTGCGGCAGTAGTTGTTGGGGAACACCCTGTCCGGGAAGTCCCTCTGTGTGTAGCTGTGTTTCTGGGGAACCTGTTGGTCCCATCTCTGGCACGTGTAGAGGTTGGTGGTCACAGCCTTTGTCCCCATGTAGTTTCTCTTCTGTCCATTATAGTAGCAATTGTTGGCTGTGAAGAACACATGGAGCCATGTAAATAGCAGTTCAACATTGACATTTTGGAATCGGTTGGCGATCGCAGAATTATGGATGGAAATTTATGTTAATGATCCATAAATGTCTGTTTCTCGTGAACAAATGAAAATGCCAAAGCAACAAAAACTGCAACAAAAACTACAACAACCGAAAGTAAAACGTTAATTTTTGTAAATGAACTATGGTTAAAACGAACTCAAAAGGACCATTTATTTTAGTTCGTTATAACCGTACTTCGATTAACGCATTTCTATTAACATATATCTCAAGTGACCAGGCACTAGAAGCATTTCGTGCTTGTCAGTTCGATATAAACGTAGTTTACTGGGTTTTTAACGTTTCACTTTCGTTTTTTTCTGGCTTTGGCATTTTCAAGTACTGTTATGGGGAATTACAATGATGTAATAATCTGAGTGGTGGGGGATACCAGTGGGGCAGAGTATCCCTACCTTTGGGGCGAACACCGGCCTAATCATTGCTAGATATTAACTACTTAACTTACAGATACAGATTTTACACACATGAACTGAAATAAACACTTGAGCATATAAATATGATATAACTTCAAAGCGTAAGTGTATGATACAACACGACATAAGGTTTACATGTACAGGGTTCACCATCTCTACATCTGATTTCATCACTGATTTTCAATCATCCAGTCGTATGATTTGCATCCCAAAATTACCTTTAACCTATATAGGAATGTGTTTCGTTGGATAACAGAATCTGGGTATCTTCTGACGACGGGGTTATATATCACACCTCATAACCTCAATGTTTTAATAATATCCAATACAATATACCTCATCACAATATGCACTTTTAAAGGGCTTTGTGTAGAAACTATTTTTAAACACGACGATCTCAACAGTCAACCCAGAACAGTACTTTTTATACTGTTCCGTTTTAACACAATTCCCACAATCCCTTGTGTGCCAAAAATAAAGACGCCAGTCAGAGTAATCTAATTCTTATCACTCTTTTCACCTCTTCCACTTAAAGAAACCCCACCAAGATATTTCAATACGCACCGTGAAGTAATGTGTTATGACAAGTTCACGGCAGGTGATGAAAACCTATTCCATGGCGTACAACGTGCGACTTCACATTATCTATTCAAGTCTGACGTTTGAATGCTACCTAATCTAGGAAGCCGAAACGAAGTTAAATCCAAAATGGAACTCACTTGAGTGTATTTAGACAGAAATGAATACAAGTCATGTAACATTCGCAACCCGGGGATCAATAACTCAGACGATGTGATCAATATTCGAATTTTCACGTCACCGAGAATAACTCACACGGAACAAAGGCCACTTTTCACTAACACCTTAACAATTGCATTAATATTTAGCATCTACTCGAACAGTTTAAACCCTCATTTAATGTAGGTCACAGGGCTCAAGGTTTCAATTAAGAAACAAGAAGCAACTGAATCTATTAGGGTTGTCTAAAAAATTAACGTAATGGCGCTGTTAAGAATCTATAATGTCTATTTTACTATTTGTTAACCTGTGTGCAGCTCCAAAATTCGAAATTCAGCGGATTCCAAAACAGTTCGACACAGTGCAGCTACCGTCAGTATAAAGTCCAAAGCTAGTCACAACGTTCGATATGTAATTGAAAGACATAGTTCTAAATCCTGAAGATAGTGACACAGTTCCAAAGTTTGAACACACGACACAGTTCCAAATTTTGAACACACGACAGTTCCAAATGTTGAACACACGACCCAGTTCCAAATTTTGAACACACGACACAGTTCCAAATTTTGAACATACAACACAGTTCCATATTCTGAAGCTGGCGATACAAGTTAAAAAACCTGAAGCTAGCAATATAGTTCGAAATCCTAACACTATAGACTCGGTTCGAAATCCTGAGCCCAGATACACAGTTCCAAAATACCGAAGCAAGCTACACAGTTCGAAACAGTGTTTGCCGTAAACCCTGAAAAGATGCAGTTCTTGGGGACCCAGAGCCATAAAAAAGTTGTGGGCCCTGATCAGAATGTGTAGGCCCTATATTTTAATATGGAAACAATACTCTTAGTTATTGGGTTTGAAAGAGAGACGTAAACCCTGAAACGAGCAACAGAGACGTAAACCCTGAAACGAGCAACAGAGGCGTAAATCCTAAAGAGAGCAACTGAGACGTAAATCCTAAAGCAAGCAACAGAGACGTAAACCCTGAAACGAGCAACAGAGACGTAAACCCTGAAACGAGCAACAGAGACGTAAATCCTAAAGCAAGCAACAGAGACGTATACCCTGAAGCGAGCAACAGAGGCGTAAATCCTAAAAAGAGCAACAGAGACGTAAACCCTGAAACGAGCAACAGAGACGTAAATCCCAAAGAGAGCAACAGAGACGTAAACCCTGAAACGAGCAAAAGACTCGTAAATCCTAAAGAGAGCAACAGAGACGTAAACCCTGAAATGAGCAACAGAGACGCAATAACCCTGTAGCGAGCAACAGAGACGTAAACCCTGAAACGAGCAAGCAGAGACTCGTAAATCCTAAAGAGAGCAACAGAGACGTATACCCTGAAATGAGCAACAGAGGCGTAAATCCTAAAGAGAGCAACAGAGACGTAAACCCTGAAATGAGCAACAGAGACGTAAATCCTAAAGAGAGCAACAGAGACGTAAACCCTGAAACGAGCAACAGAGACGTATACCCTGAAACGAGCAACAGAGACGTAAATCCTAAAGAGAGCAACAGAGACGTAAACCCTGAAACGAGCAACAGAGGCGTAAATCCTAAAGAGAGCAACAGAGACGTAAACCCTGAAACGAGCAACAGAGACGTAAACCCAGAGCGAGCAACAGAGACGTAAATCCAAAGCAGAGCAACAGGACGTAAAATCCTAAAGCAGGCAACAGAGACGTAAATCCTGGAAACGAGCAACAGAGACGTAAATCCTAAAGCAAGCAACAGAGGCGTAAATCCTAAAGCGAGCAACAGAGACGTATGCCCTGGGAGCGAGGCAACAGAGACGTAAATCCTAAAGAGAGCAACAGAGACGTAAACCCTGAAACAGGCAACAGAGGCGTAAATCCTAAAGAGGCAACAGAGACGTAAACCCTGAAACGAGCAAGCAGAGACGTAAATCCTAAAAGAGAGCAACAGAGACGTATACCCTGAAACGAGCAACAGAGGCGTAAATCCTAAAGAGAGCAACAGAGACGTAAACCCTGAAACGAGCAACAGAGACGTAAATCCTAAAGAGAGCAACAGAGACGTAAACCCTGAAACGAGCAACAGAGACGTAAATCCTAAAGCGAACAACAGAGACGTAAACCCTGAAACGAGCAACAGAGACGTAAATCCTAAAGAGCAAGCAACAGAGACGTAAAAGCGAGCAACAGAGGCGTAAATCCTAAAGAGAGCAACAGAGACGTATACCCTGAAACGAGCAGCAGAGGCGTAAACCTAAAGCGAGCAACAGAGACGTAAATCCTGAAAGCGGCAACAGAGACGTAAACCCTGGGAAGCAGAGCAACAGAGACGTAAACCCTGAAACGAGCGAGCAACAGAGACGTAAATCCTAAAGCGAGCAACAGAGACGTAAACCCTGGAAACGAGCAAAAGGCGAGCAACAGAGACGCAAAGAGACGTAAATCCTGAAACGAGCAACAGAGACGTAAATCCTAAAGCGAGCAACAGAGACGTAAACCCTGAAACGAGCAACAGAGGCGTAAATCCTAAAGAGAGCAACAGAGACGTAAACCCTGAAACGAGCAACAGAGACGTAAACCCTGAAACGAGCAACAGAGACGTAAATCCTAAAGAGAGCAACAGAGACGTATACCCTGAAACGAGCAACAGAGGCGTAAACCCTGAAACGAGCAACAGAGACGTAAATCCTAAAGCGAACAACAGAGACGTAAACCCTGAAACGAGCAACAGAGACGTAAATCCTAAAGCGAACAACAGAGACGTAAACCCTGAAACGAGCAACAGAGACGTAAATCCTAAAGCGAGCAACAGAGACGTAAACCCTGAAACGAGCAACAGAGACGTAAATCCTAAAGAGAGCAACAGAGACGTAAACCCTGAAACGAGCAACAGAGACGTAAATCCTAAAGAGAGCAACAGAGACGTAAACCCTGAAACGAGCAACAGAGACGTAAATCCTAAAGAGAGCAACAGAGACGTAAACCCTGAAACGAGCAACAGAGACGTAAATCCTAAAGAGAGCAACAGAGACGTATACCCTGAAACGAGCAACAGAGACGTAAACCCTGAAACGAGCAACAGAGGCGTAAATCCTAAAGTGAACAACAGAGACGTAAATCCAAAAGGGAGCAACAGAGACGTAAACCCTGAAACGTGCAACACAGACATAAATCCTAAAGTGAAAATCCTGAAGCAAGCAACAGAGACGTAAATCCTAAAGCGAGCAACAGAGACGTAAATCCTGAAGCGAGCAAAGGAGACACTAGTAGCAGCAAATCCCGACACTAGTGACACAGTTCGATAAGTCCTGCAGCAACCGAAACAGTTCGAAATCCTGACGCTAGCGACTTGCACGTAGTTACAAATGCTTTATCTCGATTAACTTCTTGTGTATTGTCTATTTGAGACAGGTGTATACCATCCCGTTAAAAAATCTAATAACTTTGATGTAGTTAAAATCGACAACAGCGTACTCCCCTTTCTAAATATATTATTACAATATTTTGTATCATCTATTACAACAAACGTAGAGTACCCACACTTAAAACTGATTGAAACTGCGTTTCGTCATAAATACTTGCAAAAAACTTCCTTTCTACACATTCTAAAAGAACCACTTAAACACTGAACGATGAAGATGATTTAAAAGAAAAATTAGCACAAAAAATCTGACATTTTCTATGTTGACACCTTCAATAATCTTTACCGGTTTTGACCATCCCCAAACCGTTTTAGCTTCATCCATCAAATACAAAATACCGTTTCCGCTAAAGTTGGATTACGTTCAGAATGCAGTGAAGAAAGTCCAAACATCGTACGATCATTTCCACAGGAACAAAACGTCATCTTTCTGGGTGTTATACTTCAAATAATTTACTCAACTTTGAATCATTTTGCAATATTTACAGGATTTCCCTTTTTCGTTTCGAAAAACGTAAGCCATTTTCATGATCAGGAAATTCTTCAAAAAAACCCGAATCAATCGATCAAAAGGTTCTGGAGTAAAAGTTGAACTCTCGACTATGATGCATTGAACAAACCAGAATCTTCTTATAATCAGTACCATTCGTACAAACCTAAACCTTCTAGGCCTTGTGGTCTCGGAGTGAAAACATATTACAAACTCTTAACGATTTTCAAATTGAATTTGCTTTTACAAATTGACGTCCTAAAAACAGGTGAGCTATGTATGTTCAGAAGTATATATAAATCATTCCGCTCAATCCATCATTAAACTTTTCTGGAAAGTTTACAGACTCAAGTCGCCTTGACATAACCTCTACAGCGTTTCTAGACGTTAAGCTAAAACACACACATGTCAGATTTATCTTTTTCGATATTGGACACAATACATCACATACTGCACAGACAATGACCGTTAAGATTCTCATTGCATCTTGTTTTAGAGCAGTCACGCGGAAGACTATAATTACTTGCTTATTGTGGTCATAAAACCCACTTATCACAGAAGCAAGGATTTATACTATGACTGTAAGATTCATCCAGAAATATTGACGAGCTCAGACAGGGATTTCGATCCGACACAAGGGATTTGTCTACTCCAAGGTGCGGAACAAGACGATTGCTCGAGCCACACACATGAAACACAAGTTAACAACGCGCTTCCATTCTCTGCACATCATGCAACTTCCCACCAAGGTCTACCTCAGGGAAAGATCCTGTTCCACGTTACTCTGGACGAAACACCAATGTGTTACAAACAATTTATTTACCTTGAGTAATGTTGAAAGAATCGCGTCTGGGTTGGGGGCCTGGTTACAAGTAGAATGTTAAATACGATGATTCTCCCGAGAGCTTCTTGCGTAACTTATCCAGTATCTGACCAAGAACTGTCATTCATGATCTCTGCTGTTGAGCGTGTTGAGTTGAGGACATATGACTTTGGGATCTGCTTGGGAAGTTGATGGGGATTGTTTTCCCTTGCCAGGTTCTAGGTCAGTCTGGCGTTTCAAGGGTAATGTTAAAAAGGCGTTCTTCGTTTAAACTAATTTCCCAGGATTTGAAAGTTTGACATGAGCTTATTGAATTAAACTTTTATTTGTATGGCCATGCTGGATTAATCAGTTACATTTATGGCCCTATCCTAGCCAGACCGCATAAATCAGCTTAATTCTAAAATTTACGACGACCAGAATAGTTGTCGGATGGGTTTCGGCTGACTTTATAACATCACTACCTTGTATTTGTTTCTTGAAGGATAAGAGAATTGTATTAATGGGCTGGGACTTTTTTAAAGTGGGTATGCACTGACCAACTGATAGTTCCAGCAGCTTTGATTAAACCTTTTCAAAGTAAATATAAAACGTCACCTTCAACGGATAACTACTCGCGACTATTCCATCTATCAGTCAAGACCCGTGAAGATCCAGGGTAGCATTGGTCTTCAGCAACCCATGCTTGTCAAACGAGATAGCGGGATCGGTTATCAGGCTCGCTGATAATGCTTAATGCCACTGGATTATAAGTCCAGACTCGATTATTTACATACATTCTAATGCATGAATTAGTGTTTGGACGACAAACCTGTCATTATGGTCAACAGGTGAGATGTAGACTCTGATTCCATGACGTTTCCCTCAAAACGAAGATATTGATGTAGGTCTAAATTGATGTTTCTGCTGCTGCTGACTGACATCGTCCTCATGTAACCATCTACTCGTAGGTTATAAGAAGAATGAACACCACCTCCGACATGAATACTGACATTATTTGATCCCTGAAGTTAGTTTCAACATATATACTGTGAACCCGCAAGCAAACTTTCTCTAATCACGTGTGTCCCTTCTCACTAGCAATTAACTGAGTTGAAGGACAATCCAATGATTTCAAGCCAGACAGTTGTCGAAACGTCTATAGTTCTTGAACAGGTCGGTGGGGGGTGGAAGTCATTTCACAATAGATGCCTACCAAATCTCTCCAGAACGATCAGATGCATATTGATGGCAAATTAGCCCCACCTTTGCAATCCTAAATAGACGATGACCTTTCGTCTTTCGGACAACTCCAGCCAACTTTTTAGATTTGATTTTGTGTCCAAAACGAGACGCACTGAATTTCCTGTATCGGCTGTAGCAGGCGTTTTTTCCCAGACATAAAATCGCATTTGGCCTTTATCCAGTCCTGGAGGTTAGGAAAGGGAATTGGTGAGTAAATAAACTGAAATCAACTTACTGAGCTGACATCCGGGTCCCCAGAAGCCTTCCCGGCATCCTCCTACGCAGTTGCCATGCACCTTGTCACAGACCTCACTTCGTCTGCATCGACACCGGAAGCGACACTTGTAACCAAAGTAGCCATCTTGACACCGGCTGTGAAGATCCTGCAGGCCGTCTGGAAATTGAAAGAGGGACATGTTTAAATTGTACAACAGAATTTAAGATGGATTGTTTACATTAAAGGGCAAATATTTCACCGACGGATAAATGTGTATTTTGCAAATTGGTTCATCAATATTTTCAAAAAACATTTTACACCTTGAACCATGCATGTCTAATGGCTCAATGGGTGGTATGATTTGAAAATATTAGTTTCCCTACAAGTTAAATCTTTGTTTACTGTCAGACAAGTTTGTTTACTGTTACAGTCTTCGTTCACTGTTTGAGAAATTCTCCTATTTCGGGCATGTATATTTCTGATACTGATACGCATGTAAAACGTTAGGTTTGTCGAAAACCGTTTATCCTGAATTTAAACTAATGTCAAGCGTTGCCAGTAGTAACTGCTGAAAGAAACCTGCAGTAACTGTTGTGAGTTACCAGTTGTAGCTGTTGCAATTAACAGTAATAACTGTAGAAAGCGACGAGTTTTTACTGTAGTAATAGCAGTAGTAACTGTAGTAATAGCAGTAGTAACTGTAGTAATAGCAGTAGTAACTGTAGTAATAGCAGTAGTAACTGTAGTAAAAGCAGTAGTAACTGTAGTAATAGCAGTAGTGATTGTAGTAATAGCAGTAGTAATACCAGTAGCAACTGTAGTAATAACGTAGTAACTGTAGTAATAACAGTAGTAATTGTAGTAAAAAAAGGTAGCAACTGTAGTAATAACAATAGTAACTCTAGTAATAGCAGTAGCAACTGTAGTAATAAACAGTAGTTACTGTGGGAATAACAGTAGTAACTGTAGTAATACAAGTAGCAACTGTAGCAATAGCAGTAGCAACTGTAGCAATAGCAGTAGTAACTGTAGTAATAACAGTAGTAACTGTAGTAATAACAGTAGTAACTGTGGTAATAACAGTAGTAACTGTAGTAATAACAGTAGTAACTGTGGTAATAACAGTAGCAACTGTAGTTATAACAGTAGTAACTGTGGTAATAACAGTAGCAACTGTAGTAATTAAAGTAGTAACTGTATTAATACAAGTAGCAACTGTAGTAATAACAGTAGCAACTGTAGTAATAACAGTAGTAACTGTAGTAATAACAGTAGTAACTGTAGTAATACAAGTAGCAACTGTAGCAATAGCAGTAGCAACTTTAGCAATAGCAGTAGTAATGTAGTAGTAGTAACTGTAGTAATAACAGTAGTAACTGTAGTAATAACAGTAGTAACTGTAGTAATAACAGTAGCAACTGTAGTAATAACAGTAGTAACTGTAGTAATACAAGTAGCAACTGTAGTAATAACAGTAGCAACTGTAGTAATAACAGTAGTAACTGTAGTAATAGAAAATAGACAGTTGTAACTGTAGAAAGTAACCAGTTGCTACTGTAATAAACAAGTGAAAGTCAGGGAGACGCGTCAAAGTGATGGTTGCATGGTAAATGACTTCATTGCTTCACAGTGAGCTGACACTATGGCTCCTACACACACCGACACACGCAAACACATCTATATCCACACACAACTCATCCACACGTATCCCCCCACACACACACACGCGAGCACGCGCACACACGCCCACACACCCGAGTTTGTGTACTTCAACACATGAGGAAACCTTTCTCAATGTACGTCAGTTTGAACTCTCCTTCAAGTTGCCACACTGTTAACAAACCAAACTTTAGTTCAAAGCAACGAAATCACCGAATCCCATTTCTTTGAAGGAGCTTCGTTAAATACAGAAACAAAAAAATCATTTAATGAAATTCGATTTAATGACACCCTCCTTCTTAAATCCGTAGGAAGCCAACACTTTATCTGTTTAACCGTAAATATTTTATTATTGAATAAAGATAAAAAAATGTTGGCCATTTCGAGCAAATAAAAGTTAGAAATAGTGCAGTTTATTTCACTGTCCCTGCAAATAATTCGATATGATTCAGAAGAGTTTGGAATTTGGTATTCGCCATGACTCTTGGATAATCATCTCTTCTGAATGGCACATAATAAAACTGCCGTGAAACCGTCGTTGATAGCGAAGTTCGTTGTCGATCATGAAGTTTAGTAGAAAATGATTGCATCGGAGTACCATGTAGCCGTCGATATGGAAACGCCTTAGTAATACACTTTCACGTCTTGAGGAAAGAATGAGAAATTTTACAACTGAGAGTGCATTTAGTGAATGTTTGCACTTTACTACCTCAATTTATTCACTACTTATTCCTCACTCTGGGATTTCGAAGCACGAACGCCTAACTGAGCTGCCCATACATAGCTTCATTTTGACGTTAAAAAAAGGCCTATATCTCAGGCGGTCGATAAGGAAATCTGACAACGCAAACTGTTCCCGCTAAGCAAACGTGACAGTAATGACCGAACATGTTCGCGATTACGCAAAACGTAAATCACCAAATCGTTTATCTCGAGCTGATATTTTCATTGAAATAGACGACATTAGGAATTAAGAATTCAGCAGCTTAATACCTGACCTCTCGGGTTTATTTTCTTCTGAATATGAAACCGACTATTTATTCTTTCCAAGTCAGCTTATAGCACAGGTCTCTATTCAACGTAAGTCCATTAACGGCCAGTTGGAGAGGAGCTGCGCGGTGTTTAAGGCTGCTGGGTAAACGACAACGGTCGTAAAATGTCCAAACATTGATTCCGTTTGATTTACAATTCCGTCAATTTCATGTATTGTATTTCAAGTAATTGAGTCGAGCCCCATATGACCTAATGTTTAACTTAAGCACCGAACCCTGGGGTTTAGAGCGTGCTTTTAAGCACCGGCATCAAAACTCTTTGACCAATCATTCCAGCGAAACCATGAGGGCGGAAAATCCGTGTTACCACAACCTTTGTGAATTGTAGATCATGCTATGAAATGAATTTGTTTTCCAAACAGAGAACATAAGCCAGGTTGACACACGTTAATCAATACCGCCATGGGAATAAACTTGGAATTCATCGAACGGTTTACAACAGGAGACCCATTTTATTTCTCTGCAAAAAAGACTGCTGCTATTTCGAATGGAACCATTGCCAGAAACCCGAGCTATGCAAATAAGTGCGTGACAGGGTTGCAAGAGGGAAGCTTGTACGGAAGAACTGGCAACCTTTCCATGGAACAATTAACATGCGTGTTTGCATGAATCATTTAGTTCGTAAACCAACATGGATGGTCGCATTTCACAATGGCAATCCACGACCATTTAAGACCAAATTGCTATTTGTGATATATAGTGTACGGCTATTAATGCGGTACTGTCGGATGTAAAGACGAAATATGGACGATGACTATTACCATAATTACGTCACTGCCATGCAAATACGTAGTTATTGCATGTCCGGAATAATTAAGTAATAAAATCTGTGCTACTTTAACAGTATAATGCAGGCGCCCCCAAATCCTTATTCATCTGTAGAAAATATTTATTAGGAATAGTGATTTAATTCGTCTTTTTTCAAAAGAACCATTTCATGTTATGCGAGCTATATGTACTATCAGTTGGATATGTATAAAAGAGCTACACCTGTTGACAAATTGCTATGTCCAGGTGAGCTACACGTGTTGACAAATTGACAACATGTCCAGGCGAGCTACACGTGTTGTGAAACTGACATGTCCAGGCGAGCTACAGCTACACTGTTGACATATCCAGGCGAGCTACACCTGTTGACAAATTGACATGTCCAGGAGAGCTACAGTTGTTGACAAACTGACATGTCCAGGAGAGCTACACCTGTTGACAAATTGACATGCCCAGGCCAGCTACACTTGTTGACAAACTGACATGTCCAGGAGAGCTACACGTGTTGTGAAACTGACATGTCCAGGCGAGCTACAGCTGTTGACAGAATGACATGTCCAGGCGAGCTACACCTGTTGACAAATTGACATATCCAGGCGAGCTACACGTGTTGACAAATTGACATGTCCAGGCCAGCTACACCTGTTGACAAACTGACATGTCCAGGAGAGCTACACCTGTTGACAAATTGACATGTCCAGGCCAGCTACACCTGTTGACTATCTGACATTTCCAGGAGAGCTACACCTGTTGACAAATTGACATGTCCAGGCCAGCTACACTTGTTGACAAACTGACATGTCCAGGAGAGCTACACCTGTTGACAAATTGACATGTCCAGGCCAGCTACACCTGTTGACAAATTGACATGTCCAGGCGAGCTACACTTGATGTAATCAATCAACCAGGATGATCTATTCCTGCCTACTTGACAGCTCGCGTGCTGGCCATCTTATGGATTGGGAGTTTTACGACGTTCTTTCATGCCACTATGGAGAGGAATGAAAACAGAAAATCGGTGTGAAAAGATGTCTCAGCTGAGATTGTTTCCTGGAATCAACTTTTACCGTGGTTTTATGATCATCCTGCATCATGTGGTTCAACTGGCCACGCATTTACTCTACCAGTCGTCAGCTAACGCCATTTATACCCCTGCGAGGGGAACGAGGACAAATTCCGCAAACGTTCATACACATTAAACACGATTCCTTAAAATGCATTAAAAGTTAAAGCAAACTGAAGTAAAGTTTATGTTGTGAGACATCGATACTACGTTCGGTGATCTTTTATCTGCTTAACTTTTATGCTGGAGAGGAAAAGGTCTATTAAGAAGATGGATGGAAGATACTGTTACTGAACATTTGGAAATTGCAGGTAGGTCAGTGCAGGGCCCATGAACCTTTTCTTGAGGACGGGCAAAGATAGTATCCTCTGTGTGGATCGAGAATCCTAGGTATGTCTTGAGAACAGATACAGATGGTACCCTGTCTGGATCCAGTACCCTGTGTATGCCTTGAGAACAGACACAGATGGTACCCCGTGTGGATCCAGTACCCTGTGTATGTCATGAGAACAGACACAGATGGTATCCCCATACGGATCCAGTACATATGTGTTGGTCATTCGTAAGCCTTTGATAAACTATCTAGCTACGATTGCTCGTAACTTTACGAACGCTCTGTGGAACGGGATTCAGTA